CAATTTCTTACCAATGCTTGGGTTTTGCTTCACAAATATTTAGCATCGAACTGATGCAACTTTATTTCTGTTCCTGTTACTATGCAATGAAGAACAAATGTACTGCAATGTTTAACAGCCTATCACAAGACACATACAAAAGTGAAAAACTTACTCTGTATATGAATGATCTGAGATTCCATCTACTAAAAACAGTCCCAGGCATTTTCGTAGCTCAGACAGCAGCCCTGAACAAGAAACTTGTGAATATTTCTAAAAGAAAGTAACTAACTGGACAAGAAAGTATAACAGACCACATGACTGTCATATGAATATCCTTACACAATATTAATCCAGTTTCTTTCTCTTATTACTTGCCAGCGGTTTTATCTTACTAAGTTACTCATATGTGGATTACTCAGCAAGAATGAGAGTTACAAAAATATACTTTTAAACTGTCTCAAATGCCTTGCAGGCCTGGGGAGAACACACAGTGAGTGATTCTGCTATGCATTCTAAATACTCTTCACTTTAAAAAGCCAGTTTGCATGGGCTTTCTTTAGAGTAAGGAGTTTAATAAGGAAAGCAATTAAAACAGGACATAAAAAGCTTACAGAGGCAATAAAAAATTAAAAACCTGATACATCTCTGGGAAGGTGAAAACAAAACTGACATCATAACAAGGCTAGTTTACTTTTGCTGGCATGTCAGTCTTGTGGAATTTCTACAGACAAGGTTTTGAATACCATTCTCACTGATGGAGTAGGAGCACCACAGAGAGCTCATCACTGCTCCTGCTAAAGTTCTTGTCAGGAACTGTTCCTTACCTCTCAAAACCACCTTAAATGTAAAGCTACCCCATGACAAGGCCCTAAATGCATGCATGCAATATCCTCTGCTACATATGAATGAAGGTGGGGAAGTTGTGAAGTGTCGATGATTCGATTAATTAGCCTGTGTTGGACGTTCACACATTAAAGGTAAGCTTTGCAATCTGCAAGTCTGTCAGCAGCACAGGTTTCAAACTGCTCACATCAGCAGCTGAAAACTCTGTGATTAATGAAAAGCCAACAGAAGAACTTTGAAAGTATCAATACATCTGTTTTTAATTACAGCTAGAGGGACTAAGAAAAAAAAATAAAACAACTAAGATGATTAGTAGCATGGTGTCACGATCCACTAACACAAGCGGGAGTCATGAGAGGTTCCTTTGATCTCAGAGTGCAAAAAGGACACCAAGGGATTTCAGTTTAAATCATAACAGCAATAAAGCACCTTTATTTTAGTGCCAACAGGGGTTATGCGATAAAGGAGAGGGAGAAAGGAGAGAGAGAGAGAAGGAAGGGTGGGTTATAGCTACCAGTGGAAGAGATGGGGTCACCGGTGGTCTCTTCTGTGGGGAGATCTCTCAGAGAAAATAACTTAGAAAGTCACTTTTATAGTCTGTTTGAAAGCAAGGGGCAGTTGGCCAAGAGGTGGGGAAATTCCTAGGCTACTTTGATGAGACCCATTGCTTTGTGAAGCAGGTGTAAGGTACAGAACAGGCCGCTCTTCACAAGTCCCTGCTCACCAGCAGGAACGAAAGCAATGTACCATGGCAGCACAGCAAGCACCCCTGCAAACAATCACTTGGCAAGCATCCACCTCAACCAGGCCAGAACCCCTGTACAAAGTCCCTTGGGGTCTTCAGGGTCTTAGTCCCTGTTCTTGCAATGGTCGTGAGACAAATGAGGGAAGTTTTGGACCATCTCTTACACGTGGGACAATCTTTCTGTGAAGAAAGGCTGAGGGAACTGAGATTATTGAAGCCTTGACAAGGCCTTCAATGTGTGAAGGGAGGGTGAAAGGACAAGCTAGGCTCTCTTTTTCAGGGGTCCAGTGGCAGGACCAGAGGTGATGGGCACAAACTGAAACATGGAAAGTTCCCTCTGAACATCAGGAAACATTTCTTCACTGTGAAGGTGACGAAGCACCCGCACAGGTTACACAGGGAGGTTGTGTAGTGTCCATCCTTGGAAGTATTCAAAACTTGTCTGGAGTCAGGCCTGGGCAATCTGCTCTAGGTACTCACTTTAGATAGGGGGACTGGAGAACATGGCCTCCAGAGGCCACAGAATCATAGAAAGGTTTGGGTTGGAAGGGACATTAAAGACCTCTGCTGTGGTCAAGGATGCTACCCATTAGATGAGGTTGCTCAGGGCCCAACCTGGCCTTGAACACTTCCAGGGACAGGAAATCCAGAACTTCTCTGTGCAGCCTGTTGCACCCTCACAGTAAAGAATTTCTTCCTAATATGTAATCTGGATATTTCCTCTTTTAATTTAAAACTGTTTCCCCTTGCGCTATCACTATCTGTCCATGTAAAGTCACCCTCCCTCCTTATTATAAGCCGTCTTTAAGTGCTGGAAGGCTGCAATGAGGTCTCCCTGGAGCCTTCTCTTCTTCAGCCTGAACAGCCCCAACACTCTTAGCATGTCTTCATAGGAGACATGTTCAAGCCCTCTGACCATCTTCATGGCCCTCCATTGGACTTGCTTCAACAGGTAGGTCCCTGTCTTCTCTGTGTTGAAGACCTGAGAGCTGGATGAAGCACTCCAGGTGGGGCCTCACCAGGGTGGAACAGGGCAGCAGAATTCCCTTCCTTGCTCTGCTGGCCACACTGTTTTTCATGTTTCCCAGGGTGCTGTTGGCCCTCTGCACTGCAATTGCACATTGCCAGCTCTTCTCCAGCTTTTTGTCCACGAGAACCCCCAAGTCCTTCTCTGCAGGGCTTCTCCCAATGAGTTCTCCTACTCTATCCTCATGTCTGGGATTGCCCCAGTCCAGGTGCAGCACCTAGACATTGAGCTGTTGACCACAACTCTCTGGCTGCATCCATCCAACCAATTCCTCCCCATCACAGATATTCTGTGATTCCATGAACTATAAATTATTAGAGCTGAGAAAACTATTTGACACTCCCACCATCAGGCAGATTTCTCCCTAAACAAGCAAGTGAAACTCCAAAGCCAGGTATGTAGGTGTCTCCCTCATTAATTAGTCTTCTTGCTTCCAGGAGCTCTTCACCATTATTACTTAAGTCTCATCTTAATTAAGCCGTGACCTGTGGTCCTTCAGCTTCTCAAAGACTTGGTGTAAGATTCATACCTTCCAAGGGAATGACCATGGACTTCTTTCCAAGTTGGCGGGGAGAAATATAAATTTCATCATCTAAAATGGTCTGGACTTCCCGCTCCCTAGAATAACTTGCCTCTGAACTCTGAGCTCTGACAATAATCTTCAAATGTTGAAGAAAGAAAGGTGTTTTGAGTTCGGAGATGTAAGTCCAGCAGAGATCTATTCTGTAAACATTCCACATGCTTTTAAGGCAACTGCTCCATCAGGGAAGAGAAAAAATATTAAGGAAGAGAAACCAATACCTGTAGCATCCTCCTTATGAGAGCTGTTGGTTCAGAAATGAAATGTTAGACCATGCTTACTGGACCTCCCACAGACCTCTTCCAATTCACCTGCTTACATAGAGATGTCCATGTAAAATCTACAGTAAGTGGTACTTAGGACTGTCAAAATATTTAAATAAAAACATCAGTAAAATAACCAATACACTTCTGAGTTTCCACAATTCCAGTCTCACACTCACAGCGTGAGTCATCCTAAATGGAAAACTCAATCCAGGCAGGTCCAAATAACCATTGTTTAAGCTGGACTTTTCTCACTAGAGCACAGCCTTTGTCTCTTTGCTTCTGGTTATAGCAGTGGCCACATAAATTAATGATTCATCGCTTTTCAACCTGTACTCTTCCCATGCAAAAGACACAGGATGACTTTCATAAACATCCCTAAGACCTACAAGATCTCAAAATGCACAGGTGGCTAGAACATGAATTAGATCACGCTGACCTCAAAGAGACTGAAGGATCACAGGTTTCTGGAAAGGTCTTGTTTAAAGAAACAAGGTTTGAAACTCCCTCAAATTTTGGACAGCCTCAACTCTGCAACAGACTGAAAAATGAGTTATCCTGATCAAACTTCCCACATAAAGCATTTTATTACTTTAAAATGAAGAAGGGGGGGGAGGGGGGGGGAGGGAAGAAGCATGTAGCAAAGTGACAAGAGATCAGAAATGTTTCAAATTGTTCTGTCAAAGTCTCTCCTGATCTATACAGTCTGACAGTTTCACTCAATGCTTCCCAGGACCCTGGAGATCTGGGTGAGTTCCTTATGTTGTTCCAAGGATGACATCTTAAGCACATGAAGTCTTGATGTGGACTGACAGATCATCAGCAGTATTTCCAAAAACCAGCACCATTCAGTCTTTCTACTACACTGACTCTCTGGTCTGTGCATATACTCTCCAAACAAGACAAAATCGGGCAAAAAGTATATGAGATGGAGATAACCTCAGCGGCGACTGTCCCCATGATCGTGTTCATGGGATCCTTCTGGAGGCGATGCCAGGGGCAGCCTGTGCTGGACACCGTGCCCTCGGCCTCACAACATTAACCTGCACACAGCACACAGTCGCTGGCAGCTCCCTCACCATAATGAGGGATTCACTGATAAGCGAAAGGCAAGGCTGCAAGCCAGGACATCGAGCTCATCGAGGAAGTCTTCTGGCCAGCATCAACACAGGCAAAACTTGGGGGAGCGTGGATGCAGAGAAAACCCCGCGCGCCCGGGAGGCCTCCGCCCCCTCACAGCGCCCTCCCTTCCATCCTGCCCAAGGAATGCCAGGCCGTCCCCTGAGGAGGACGCAGTGCCATTCAAGGAGCAGCACGTGTTGTGTCTGACTGAACCGTGCCAGGGATGTGCCCCTGTCCACTCTCCGGGAAAAACGCGTCCTGCAGCAGCACAGGGCTCCAATAAAACCTACCGCACCCCACTCGTTCCACGGGGTGCAGGTTCCGTGTTTGCTGGGTGGGGCGAGGGCGAGGAGGAGGCGGGGAAAGAGGTGAGCAAGGAGGCGGAGGCGGCAGCTGCGGGAGCCGCTGGTCCCGCCCCGCCGGCCGGGAACCTCCCTTTCCGCCGAGAAGGCGACGCAGCGCTGCCCAAGATGGTGGCGGCGGGGCTGTGCCTGTGTGGGCTCCTCAGGTAGGGGGCGCGGGGGCGGCGCGTCCTGGCGGCGGGCAGGGCGGGCGGGAGGCGGCCCGGGCCTGGCCGCGCTCCTCCGGCCCCCGGGCTGGGCGCTGCCCGGCTCCGCGCTGTGCCGCGGGCTCGCACGGGTTAATGCGCTTTTCCGCCGCTCCCGGCCCAGAATGAAAGCGCTTCCTTGTGTGTCAGTCGTGAGGCGTGGGTCGCTCCTTTGGTAAACGGGAGCGGCTGAGTAAACGCTGTGTGTCCCAAGGCGTAGCGGCACAGCGGGAGGGACCAGGCGCTGTCCCTGTGGGCCAGGAAACCTGTCACAGCTGTCAGGGAGGCTGGAGAGCGAAGGCAACAGCCCTGACAGTGACTGAGAGACCAGAGGAAGCGGCTCTGCACAGAGAGACTGCACCGAGCTGCTCCGGACAGCTGGCCTAGCTGTTCATGCCTCCGGGTGTGGGAAGTGCAGGTTGGAATACGAGATGCCTGGCCCCAGTAACCCGGCACCAAAGCAGTTCACAGCAGAGCGAGCCAAACCGGAGATTGGGCTGAAAAAAACTCTTTGAAAGCCTATTTGGAAATCACTCTGCTGGTTGTGTATTGCCAGGTTGCTAAGGGCATACAGCTTTTACAAAGTGTGTAGAGCACGTGGAGATAGATAACACATATAGGGCATGAATAAACAATGATAAGTGATTGCAAGGTAACAACAGGGGGAAAAGAGACCTTCGAATAAACAGTGCAGAGTAGTGATTTAATTTCTTTAATTGTCAGTCATACACACTGATGATTTCTGAGATTAGAAGAACTCAAGAAGTTGTCAAATTCCCTGTAGCTCTACTTTTAAGTCCTTCTCGCTCAATGTCATACACAGTAGTTCTTTAAAGCAATTATATTTTTTAACATTTCTGGCTTATTTCAGATTGCTGTGCTCATTGTTACTCCCTGCATTATTTCTAAGTGGAATTTTGTGCATCTGCTTGGTGGTACTGCTGTGGGGAGTGCGACTGTGGTTACAAAGGAAGAAACAGTTGAGCTCAGCAGGAGGAGATGGGAAGCGGCCACTGCTGGTGGCCTTTTTTCACCCGTATTGCAACGCAGGAGGTGGAGGGGAGAGAGTCTTGTGGTGTGCCATAAGAACACTACAGAAGAAGTAAGCATATGTCTTTATCAAACACCAAATTTCATTCTCAGTTTCTGCTGCTGTTCTTTATACAGGTGTTGGCATTTTACATATTTAAGTAGGTGTCATTAATCTACTGGTCTTACATTTTACTTTACATCTGAGTTTCATGTGGTTGCATTCTACTTCATCCCTTTAGAATTTGATATTTCCTGCTGTGGGACCTCTCACTTTTTTTCCTTTCTTTCCTTGAAAAAACCTCTCCTTCCTCCTCAGTTTTCCACTAGTATGGAACTTTGTATAGTCATAACTCCTCAGCAGATAACTGATCATCTTTGTACTTGCCTCTTGGTGCAGGAGGCAAAACAAATTAATACCTAAAGTGGATTTAACATGGGCACATCCAATGATTTGCCATCATTTGCATTTTGCTCATGCTGTGCACTAGACAGATACCTCCTAATGTAATGAAGTCTGTAGAATAATACTGAACTCCTTTTATGTTTTACGCAAATTGAAATATTCCCCAAATTCTCAGCCATATGTTTTTCTGCAGATCAGAAAAAAACCCATGGAAGTATAAGGAAAAGTATAATTTAGTTAAAATAATTTCTGGGCCAGACATTTGTTCGCACATTCTTCTTGAGTACTTTTAAGCGGATTGTATTTTAGTTTCTTGCTGAAAAATATGAAGAGAAGAATATATGAAATTATTTTTCTTTATTCTTACAGGTACAGGAATGTAACGTGTGTTGTTTACACTGGTGATAGAGATGCCACTGGAGAAGAAATAATTGAAGGCGCTTTCAGAAGATTCAATATTAAGTTAATTCATCCTGTGAAGTTTGTATTTCTAAAAAAACGTTTCCTTGTGGAAGCTTCTCTTTATCCTCACTTCACTTTGCTGGGACAAAGTTTAGGATCGGTGTTCCTTGGCTGGGAAGCTCTTCTAAAGTGCGTTCCTGATGTTTATATTGACTCAATGGGTTATGCCTTCACAATTCCCCTCTTCAAATACCTAGGAGGTTGTCGTGTTGGATGCTACGTCCATTACCCCACTATCAGCACTGATATGCTCTCTGTCGTGAGGAATCAGGATACCAGGTTTAACAATGCTGCCTTCATTACAAGCAGCCCTCTCTTCAGCAAATTTAAACTTGTCTACTACTACTTCTTTGCTTTCATGTACGGCTTGGTTGGTTCCTGCAGTGATGTGGTAATGGTGAATTCTTCTTGGACACTGAATCACATCCTTTCCCTCTGGAGAGCTGGGGCATGCACCAGTGTTGTGTATCCACCATGCGATGTTCAGACTTTCCTGGATATTCCACTGGAAGTGGAAAAGAGTACCAGTGAATATTCCATTGTTTCTGTCAGCCAGTTCAGGCCTGAAAAAGATCATCCTTTGCAAATCAGAGCCTTTGCTAAATTGCTGAAAGAGAAAAGAGTGGGGCAGCAGCCATCACTGAAGCTGATTTTAATTGGTGGCTGTCGTAACCAGCAAGATGAAGAGCGTGTAAATAAGCTGAAATGTCTGTGTGAAGAGCTGGGAGTTGGTGATGATGTGCTGTTCAGGATTAACATTCCTTTTGAGGAGCTGAAGAGACACCTGGCCAAGGCCACCATTGGCCTGCACACCATGTGGAATGAGCACTTTGGGATTGGTCAGTATGCTTCCTGAGTGTTCAGCTGCTTGTCTCTAGGTGTCTAAGCACAGAGGTCTGCATGCCAAGCAGGTGTCCAGCTCCTGTTCCCATTGGAGGCAGTGTAGCTGCTGTAAAGCCTTCGGGACCAGTGCAGATGTGGTGCAGATGATGCACCACTAGATGCTACTGTAGTGCATGCTGAAGTGCTGTAGTCATAGGCTGATAATTCTGTGCATCCTCTGGTCACCTGAGCACAGAGCTAGTCCCATCTGTGCTGCCCAGGATGTCCTGCCGACCTCCAGCTATTGCCCTGCAAGGTCATGGGTCACCCTATTGTCCTTGGGTTAGGTTTGCCAACGTTCCCAAGCTTCAAGAGGCTGCAGGTGCTTCTCTTTCAGCGCCTTAAATTGTGCCCTGGTGGCTCCACTGACTGCAAAGGGAGCTTAGAGATAATTAATGTGTAGACATCCATGTTAGAGATTTTGGTTGTGTTTCACCTGCCTCAAATGCCATTTGAAATGTCCAGTGTATGTCATGGGGCTCCAGCTGCTGTTTCAGGGGTGTGAGTCTCCCATAGATCCTGTCTGGTACAAATAAGCCTGTGTAGATGCCACCAGGTACCTTTGGTCGTCTCATTGTGTTAGGCATCTCTGCTGAGGCAAATGTGTGAAGACCTTAAATTGGTGGGTGTAGCATGGAGCAGAGTACCAGAGAGGAGCTGGGACTCAGAATTAAGGTATGGGGTGCAGTTTATTGAGGTTAAATTAGTCCTGACCTTAAAAGGGAATGCCAGATTGACCATCTCTTATAAATCTACAGCAATCAGATAAAGTTAGTAGCCAGGCAGACGGGTGCCATACTCTGCTATAATGTGACTAAACTGCAGTTAATATCTTCAGACTTTATTAGAAAACAGGTTAAGTAAGTATCAGGAGTAGTAGTTTATGGTCTGTTGGAGCTTGGTATAAAAAAATTGACACTGAAGTGTCTCTCAGAAGAAGCAGCAAAATACTGGAAATTATGTATTTTTTATTTTTTTTCCTCCCACAGAGCAGTTTAGTTAAATATTTTTTAAAAGTGATATAATCACACTATGATTTTGAATGTGAGCAGGATTTAACCTTCATCTGATGGGCTTTTTATGTGTGAAAAACTTAGTCCAGAACTTTGGAGCACTATTTATATTAGGCAGTGTTTGAGCTGAGGGAATTTATAACCAAATTTATAATCAAATCAGAACTGAGAAGAATCAGCACTTCCGAGGTCTGTTCTGGAACCATGGAGGAGAACTGAAGCTGCTGTATACATTATATATTGTTCCTATCCCAAAGCTTTTGGCTGAGGGAAACTTACTGATTCCTATTTAGTTAAAATTTCTTCCATCAAAAATACAGATGTAAAGATAACATTTTTTACTAGTGTCTTGCTGAGTTGTCAGAAGCTATAAAGATTTGTTCATCTGCAAAACACTGAAGTTCTGAATATTTTCTGATTGAAATGTGCTTAGTCAACTTTTTTCTCAGTATCTTTCCAAAGGCTTAAAATCAGGTATGTTACAAGACCCACAAATTAACCAGTTATATCTGATACCTAATTTAAATTTTATGTGTTGAAGAGAAACTGTCATTTCAGTCCTTAGAACTGAAAAATTTAAATTTGTGTTTCTTATGGGACCATTTTCACTGTATTTTTCCAGCTGATTTGTAATAGCAGTCTGTAGTGAATTTTACTGTTGGTTTGACTTTCCAGTGTTTTACAGAAGGTCAAAGCACATGATGTGCACACTCATATCAGCATTTTTTGTATCTCTTACAGGCGTAGTTGAATGTATGGCAGCTGGCACAGTTATCCTGGCTCACAATTCTGGTGGCCCCAAACTGGACATCGTGGTACCCCATGAAGGACATGTTACTGGCTTCCTAGCAGAAGATGAGGACAGTTATGCAGAGACAATGGCTTTTATCTTTTCTTTGCCTCCTGAGAAAAGACTGCAGATCAGAGAAAACGCTCGTCGCTCTGTGCACAGATTTTCTGACCAGCATTTTGAAGACACATTCCTGTTATCTGTGGAGCCGTTATTTAAATAAGTGTATATAAGTAAAAATGAACATGAGTAAAATTAACTTTTTATATTTGACTGTGTGGCACGTGTAAATATATCTAAGCTATGATCCCTTGGTTCCATTAAATAAAAAGGTTTTTTCTTTCTGTCAGGCTGCTTTATGTAACAGAGACTTTTTTTCTCCTGTGAAAGAAATGCTTCTATGCTAACTACATAAGAGTATGGTGCACTTAAAAGCCTTATGGATTCACAAGCCATGATAGTGCTTCGGGAGCAGAACTACATCAAGAAGTTCTTTTATTTATCAGGAGCCTCTTTTATTTATTGAATATTTTCAGTCTTTACCTGTTTCATGACTCTCTACCTGCAGTCATACTTTTTAAAGTCAACATTTTTGTTTTACAGCCTTTGTACCCAGAATTTTTTTTTTTCAGAATCTACTATATGCCTGTTATTTGGCACTGGTGAGGCTGCACCTCAAATTCTGTCTGAAGTCCTGTGAGGAGCAGCTGAGGGAGCTTCAGGTGTTCAGCCTGGAGAAAAGGAGGGTCGGGGCGACCTTATGACTTTCTACAACTGCCTGAAAAGTGCGTGGGGCCAGGTGGGGGTCAGTCTCTTCTCCCAGGTAACCAGTGATAGGGGAAAACGGCCTCAAGTTGCACCAGGGGAGGTTTGTATTGGATATTAGGAAGAATTTTGACATAGAAAAGGTTGTCAAGCATTGGAACAGACTGCCCTGGGAAGGGGTGGACTCACCATCCCCCGTGGTATGTAAAAGACATAGCATAGATAGGGCCATGGTTTAGTGGTGGACTTGGCAGTGTTAGGTTAACAGCTGGACTCAATGATCTTTTCCAACATAAACGATTCTTTGAAAAAAACTGCTAAAATCAGATTACAGACTAGTTTTCACTTTATTTAAGATTCACTTGGGTTGTAAGAATTTTTTTATGTGAAAAAATATGGTTGGAAGAACCTACATACCTACATGTTTTATTAGCAACTGAGGAATGCACAATTCTCATGTTGCTAATGAACCCTTTTACTGCTACTACTATTGCTACTAATTGAACTCCTGAGCAGTTGATATTGCTACATAGGGTCAGTAAGTGAAACTGTAGATTACAAAGCTGTACTGGCAGTACACATTGACTATGAAAAGCTGGAAGAGATTCTTAAAATAAGTTGATTTATCTAGGGAAATAAGATACACAAACTAGGAGACTCTCTTACATAATACAAAAACGGTTAAACAGAGTACACAGTCAAACTTGCTCAAGCAAGACTTGTCAGGTATGTCCAGGTAGCTCAGAATGATAGAAGAAACAGCATTTCAGTCTGGGTGAGGATTTTTCAATGTTCAGACATCTGAAAAGTACCCTGATTTGATTTTCCTTTAAAGCTAAAGAATTATAGCCTTCTATTAATTTTGATTGTTTTTCATGATGCGCATCCACACCAAATTACCTATAATTATTTTCTAAATCATCACCAGATTTTCCAAGTTTGTGAGGTAAACTCATCTTTTCTTCATCTGTTTGACCTTTATTTATTGAAAAGATGTGAGACTCTGTGGTTCTCTCTGCTGGAGAAGTTGACAATTTTTCCAGAGATTCCTCCAGCTCTTGTCTGAGTTCATCTTCAGAATCTTCAAAATTCCTGCACAGTAGAACAAGAGAATTATATTAATTAAATAAATATAACTTTATTACAAACCTTTCTCAGTTCAAGGACTCTTGGGGTTTTTAAAACACATTATAAATAATATACAAGTGGCACACCTAATTGTGAACTATTTCTTCTACCTCTGTCACATTGTTTACCTCTCTTTAAAAGGCAAGAGAAAAGAGCTGCAAGGCCATGTTAATATTTCTGCTGTAATTTTTAATAACAGCATTGGCTGTGACAAATTCCAGAATTAAAAGTTAAATTAGCAGACTCTGCAAGTTTTCTTTATTTATGAATTTTTTAGAACACAGAAAAACTTTAGGCAGTGCAACCTAAAAAACTGTCCAGTTGTGTGGATTTTTCTTCTGATGTGCTTGACTTACGTGTCTTCATCATCTGATCTTGGCTCAAGTCTACCTTCATCAACAGCAACAGCAGAATTTGTTTCTAAATCATCTTCCTTGTTTTCTTCTGCAGGCAACAGAGTTAATCTCTCTCCTGTAAAGAAAGAGGAACTTTCTTTCAGCTGTATAGTAGAAAACTATAAAAGCATGTGTAAAGGAATAGCAAATAAACAAATGCTTGAAGTGTTTTGTTGTTGTTCAAATTGCAACAATGTAAATGTCACACTTCTGTTGATGCAAAGTAAATGCAATTTTTTAAACAGTCTGTTACCTTAGGAAAGTGGGCTGCAGTGTAAGTGAGTTTGAATCAATTGCAGTGTCATCTGTATCAGCATGGACCCTGTTGTAAAGTCACCACTGTCATTTAAGTCACCATGTATGTATTTGAATAAATGCTTTTTACAGGGTTCTTCAACCACAACAGCTCCAGGTTTATGGTACCTACAGCCCACCTCTGTCTACCCAAGCAAATGAAAGAATTACATATGAAGGTAATAGCCAGCAAGTACGGCTTGCCCTTTTCCCTGCTTTTGAAAACAGCAACATCCTGGAAGAGGCCTCTCAGTGCTCAGGGACAGAGCAGAGGTGCTGTCCCCATTTTTCTAGGTTGCCAACTGCTTCAAAATGTTGTTTCTCATCACAGACCCTCTGCCATGGGTAGAAGAAATATTACACTAAAAGAAGAACATGCAAAATTTACAGGAAAAAACATCCCACCTTTGTCTTCCTTAAAACAGATAAAAGAATCATCAAACAGGTCTGCTTTTTCTAAGATGCTCAGGAGTGTCTCGGGTGGTGTCTGTTTCCACTGCTTCCTGTTTTCTGGGATGTCTTTAGGCAGAATACCGTGGTGAGCTGAAGAACAGAAAGGTTCTCAGGTCACTAAAGCATTACTGTCTTTTGTCAGATTCAGACATTGTAGTCTCAGGATTTCCTTTTGAGTAATTCTGGAATCTATTTTATTTTTTTTCTTTATGGAATACTCCTGATTTTTTTTTGTAAGTACTTAATCTGATGGATAGGGAGCAAATAGTCTGAACTACTCATCACTAAAATGTTTAACACTGATTTTAATGGTTAACTTCTTATTAAACCTGGAATAGACAGGTGCAGCTTCACTGAGCAGCCCTTGTTCTGAAACTTGTCAGCTTCTTGGTTTGAAAGAGCTTATAAAAAGTTCCTGTTTCTTTTGTGCCCTGTGGTCTTTTATCCAAGGCAGAATGAACAAAAGGTGGTGTATTAATAATATTCTGCTTTGTCTTTACTATCCATGCAAGCCCTTCAGGTTATTTTTTGTCTGTCTTGGGTGTGCAGAGCATTCCAGCTGGAATGCTGGAAAAGCTCCTTGTTTGCAGCAACCAGTCACTGAGATACTTGTCTGCCTGGGAGTATACACAGCGGTACTGTAAGAAGCCTAGGGACTTTTCTCTTCTAAAATGGAGCATCACCACAGCCACAGCTGGGTGAGGTGGCACTTGTGACACTGTCACTGTGTGCAGAGGGAAAACAACTCCACCACACTCCAGGACAGCATTGGCACTCACTGTCGTTGTTCCTGTGTGTCATCAGCTCAAGGCCTGAGAAAGTGGCGATAGTTAATTGAATAGATTGCCATTTTGAGTCAGGCCAGAGTGATTCATAAAACACAGCGCTCTTGATAGGTACGAGCAACACAACATGATTGCAGTGTTAGAGGGGAAAGGGACAACTGTTTTCTATGGCTTAACATGTGCCATAACCTCTGCTGTTACAAAGTCCTGCAATTAAAAGCCTGCTGGATCATGTGAACATTCAGGCATTGATGAATTCAGTCTGAATTTTAGGTCCTCACTACTTTCACTGAAAGCCAAAACTTTCTCACCAAGTTCATTTTCAGCCATAGTAGGACATGCAGATGTGACATCAGCATCAGCTAAAAAATTCAGTAGTGTCTGAGGGGCTCCAGTTTGCCAATGTTTTCTGGGCTTTTTCATATCATATATGGACTCTAAGGGGAAGAAAAAGAAGAGGCAAAATTATTTGGATTTTTTTGTAAAGTAGATGTCCATGTGATTATAATATTATGTGATATAAAGAAAGAACTCATGAGATAAACTTGCTATAGCAAGTTTATATCTGGAGTTACAGAATTTACCTAACTCCTATGTAATTTTCAGGATTAATACTCAGCACTGCATTTCCCCAATAAATACCTGTCGGGTAGTCAGACAGTTTTTCCAAAGCTCTGTCTGTAGGATTTTCATAAACTTCCACCAATTTCTCCTTTAGATTCTCACCATCCACAAAAGTTAAAGTCTCATTGAGTTTATCTAGTACCTGAAAAAAAACAGTAAGTTACTCTGGAAACAGTAAACAAATACGGTACAATAGCTAATCTCTTCTCATTTTACTGTGCTTGCCAGCCAACCCCATGTATGCACAGGAAGATTGTGTAACAAAAAGTGAAGCAGCAGGACTCAGAAGCCACACTGTGATTTGTGCATCAGAGGGCTGCATGGGGCCCCACAGAGATGTGAAACAACAGAATGACAAAATAGTGCTTTATAAAATAAAAATATATATACTAGAAAGAATTTTTTGTTGCTGTTAAAAATATTTTTAAAATTCTAATATACTAATAAAAATGTCAATAGGTACCTATTACATGTTGATAAGCCACAAATATAATTTTACTAAATGAAAACAATATTGTCTGTAACTGTTCTTGCTTTGTGATACAATACTGTTTCATTTCTGAAAAGAAACAGAAATGTACTAAAACAATCTACAAATCAAATTTAGCATTTGCAGACTAAATCAGTTTTGAGCTAAGTTCTTCCTCTCAATTTTAGGAAACTTAAATATCTGCACTTGTTCATATTTTACCATGTAAAGACTGACCCAAATATCACCCAATTTTCTTCTAAGCAATTATTCTCTTGTAGAATGGCAGATATATGCAACATGACAACAAATCCTCAATAAGAAGCTTCGTTGTAACAAAGGCAGAGGATGATGGTAATGGAAACAAATCTTAGATTATGGAACTGTGGTAGCTGCAGACTGCTAATGTAAATGCTTTGAATATAATTAAAA